CTCACTCACTCACTCACTCACTCACTCACTCACTCACTCACTCACTCACTCACTCACTCACTTATTTGCTCTCTTTTTCCCGGACCCTGGCTCCGACGTGCCAATTCCGAGCGGCGTTAGGAAGATATCCCGTTACAATTTATAATATATATATAATATGAATTATAAATTTCCAGCGTTGGCGATGAATTTTGGAACACAGCCGTTGTAGCAACATAAAAAATTAATATAGAAAAATGAATACAGTAGAATCAAGAACAATATAATCAACGCTGGAAAGATATTTACACTTCAACATTGTAACATCTCAACAACGTTGTTCCTACTTTCTGTACTGTATAGAAATCTTTCAAAGTTTGAAATCTATTTTTTCCTTTTTATTTAAGGCCACTATTATTCATACCCTTTTTTAAGGATGAACTCAATTATTTTTAATTATTTTTCAATTGAGATATAATACTAGTCGTTATAATATATAAATATTTAGAGACAAACTAAGTTGTAAAGTAAAATCAATTTATATAAATAGATACAGATTCTTATAGAGCTCTCAACTTATATAAATTATCCTTTCATCAAAAGACATGTTTGTGTTTCTTAAATATTTGCAGATTAATGACCTATATTGTCGGAAATGAAGTTCTTCTCATATTCTCAAGAGTATCATTCAAAATAACGATGAATACATTAGATTGCAGAAGATTGCACCTCGTATGCACATATAGTTTTCCTTGGCAGTAATGTGCAGTACGTTGTTGAAGCCTATAACAAAGCTTCATGCATAAAATCACTAATCATAAATCTAATACAAACAAGGATCGTTCTCTGGGCTTCGAATGACTCGTGCACAATTGATCGTGCGGGAACCAGTACCTGGCCGGACGGGTATCTTGAAAAGTTTTCCTTGCGGCATGCATACGCAGACTTTATATTGCTCGTGACTTGTGGCAGGATTCTGCAGGAACATAGGCGCCACAGGAATATTTTCCACGTCTATAGAAATGCCATCTTTAGCGTCTAGTATAATGCTACCATTGACGCTCTTAAGAAAAATGTCCACATCAGCGCTCCAAACGATGTCCTTGCTCTCCATCCGCACACCTTCTGCACCGTGTAAAGAGATTTGATTGTCGGAGCTAATTGTCAGGCTTTCGTTAACCGGTGATGTAATTCGATGAGTCTCCGCGATTTTGACATCAATCTTCTCGACCCCGCTTGGTAGGCCGAAGTTGGGAAAATCAGTAGTAAAATAAGTCCCACCGGTTCGTGGGTCCTTCACTTCGAACGATTCCACTTGCGACATCATCGTGCCGTTTGGTAGGACACTTAATTTGGACCGTGAATGTTCGTGTGCACGTCGACTCTTTACGTCGACACTCACACCAGCCTCATCACCAGATATCTCCATCGACTCGTCACCATAACTCTGACAAATACCTGATTGCAAGGATACCTGAGAAAACAAGTACAAAGAAACATTACGTATTAGATGCATCGATTTCGAAATGCAACCGATGTGATGATAATAGAATTAAGAATTGTTTAAAATTTTTTCACATTTTGGTCGTAAAATATATGACGTGTAATACATGTCGTTAATATTTGGATGTTCGCTGTCATATATATATGATTTTATTTTGTCTGTGGCTATCATTTTATAAAGAAATATTTTTTGATACAGACCCAGTAATGAAATATAGGATAAATGGCGAAGCGAGAGACCTTTATGCATATAAACCAGTGTACATGCTATAAAATAATATATATGATCATAATTGTATACAAATAAGTTTCCGCCGTTTTTTTTATAAAAATTATCAATTTATTG